GGCATGTGAGCGACTCTCAGTGTTTGTGACAAAGCAAGAGTGCTCCATTCCCAAAGGATATGCTTTCAAATGAACTCGATGCAAGCATGGTGCACATGCTAGTTAGTTGGAAGAAATCAAGTTTGGGACATCAATGATGGCTACGTGCATTGGCACCGAGATAGGGTAGCATTCAATTGTTAACGCGAGTAAGTTTTGAAAGTGAAATATGCAATTAGTCATGATTATATTCGAAATAAAAGAAGGTTGGGAATAGCTTGAATTGCCGCACGGGCAAAAAAATAGTTCTACGCAGTGTCGGCTGTGAAATTATTTGACTATAATAACTTCCACGATTTATGTTATCAAGTATTAGATTGTTAGATGATAAATTATTTACTAGACAAATGTAAGGTATACAACAGACTCAAAATGAATGGGTGAAGAGGTACTATGGATAAGAATGACAATGTAGGGCACTAATTACGTGTAACATCCATTTGAATAGAATAGTGTACGAACTTAAAGATATATAAATTATGTAAATTTAAAGAAGCTATCGTCTAACACGTGGCTTGATCTCGAGACAAAATGTTATCGGATAAATAAGTATATCAAACAACATAGTTGATACTGGTTGTTAATGGTATCGTTGCTATAAATCTTTGAATGAATAACAATTTGTTTTGCGCGGATTATCGCTAACAATTAAAAAAATGTTCGGATGATTGTGTAAGGAACAAACCTCTTGAGACAAAGTCCCAAAAAGGGGTGCTTTATTTATGAAAATTACAATTAGAAAGAAGCAAAATGCCTCCAAGGGGTACAAGCACACGAAGTAAATTGAAAGTTTGCAAATAGAAAGTAAATGAATTGAAATACCATATTCTCAGTTGAGAGTATATGATTCGATTTTTTTTCTTCTATGTCTTTTTTCCTTTTTATACTCCTTGCACGGGCAAAAAAATAGTTCTACGTAGCGTCGGCTGTGAAATTACTTGACTATAATAACTTCCATGATTTATGTTATCAAGTATTAGATTGTTAGATGATAAATTATTTACTAGACAAATGTAAGGTATACAACAGACTCAAAATGAATGGGTGAAGAGGTACTATGGATAAGAATGACAATGTAGGGCACCAATTACGTGTAACATCCATTTGAATAGAATAGTGTACGAACTTAAAGATATATAAATTATGTAAATTTAAAGAAGCTATCGTCTAACACGTGGCTTGATCTCAAGACAAAATGTTATCGGATAAATAAGTATATCAAGCAACATAGTTGATACTGGTTGTTAATGGTATCGTTGCTATAAATCTTTGAATGAATAACAATTTGTTTTGCTCGATTTATCGTTAACAATTAAAAGAAAGGTTCGGATGATTGTGTAAGGAACAAACCTCTTGAGATAAAATTCCAAAAAATGGTGCTTTATTTATGAAAATTACAATTAGAAAGAAGCAAAATGCTTCAAAGGGGTACAAGCACACGAAGTAAATTGAAAGTTTACAAATAGAAAGTAAATGAATTGAAATTACATATTCTCTGTTGAGAGTGTTTGATTCGGGGTCTTTTCTTCTATGTCTTCTTTTCCTTTTTATACTCTTTTGCCGGTTTTCTTTTGCTGAACTGCTTGGAAACTGTTTGGCGCTCTATAATAATTGAAATTACATATTATCTGTTGAGAGTGTTTGATTTGGGGTCTTTTCTTCTATGTCTTCTTTTCCTTCTTATACTCCTTTGTCGATAACTCTTGAAAAATTCCTTGGAAACTGTTTGACGCTCTATAATTATCCACTTTCTTCGTGATGATTGACTTGTTAAGGAACTGCCGTTAGCAACTGTTGTTAGTGCTCTTATTGTTTAACCGCTTGTAACCGAGATTTTTGGATCGTGGGGTGTGATAAGTTGCTCAATAATTATTTCAATAACTGAACAAAATGCTATATTTATCCAGATCTTGGGCGTCTCTAAGGTTTGAGCGAGAGTGAGACCGCTGTTCTGAGTGACAATGGGATACTTCATTCGCTCAAATCTTGGGCGTTCTGCAGACTTGAGCGATGATAGTTCTCTACTCATGCGATGATAGTCCTCTACTCATGCGCTGTCATTATATTTTACAATTGTCTTATTTGGGCTCATTCCTCAATTTCCTTAAGCAATTGGGCCTCATTTTGTATTCAACACAATCCACGAGGACAAAAAAATAATTCATATATGATATACTCCTATAGTTGTTTCTTGGAGTCCCCAATCAAACTTTCTCGACTTTCCTCTAAGAATCTTTTAAAAAGCTGTGTGGTGCATACGTTCACTTTGAGCAAGAATATTTCCTCAATTCATAAATTTCTCAAAAAGCAATTTAGTCCATGTTCGATTTTGCTAAAATTCGAATTTTTAATAAATTCTGATAAAAGTGGATAAAATGTGTGATTGAAAAGTTGATAAAAGTTATGGATTTATGAAATATTTCAAAAATTAATTGTCGACTTTGACTTTATCTTAAATTTTTATCAAATTTTTAAGTTAAACCAAATGGGGCTCAAAAAGGAAAACAAAATGTAAGGTAAAATGGTGCAATCTTGAGAACAAGACCTAACTCAAGTGATAAGAGTGAAATTTTACCAAATCAGTTACTCGAGTTCGAATAAGTTCGAGTCTAATTCAAGGAAGAGAGAAGTTAAAAAATAAATAAAAATGATGCAATCTTCCTTTTTCTTATTTGGAGAGAAAAATAATAATAAATTAAACAAATAGTGCGTCTGGCACGTGTAGACACACACAGAACACGAACACCTTCAATACGAACACAAGATGGCACGCAATGAATTGCATGCACATAACGTATTTATATGAAGTCAAATAGTTATAATTAATGCACCTTCCAACGTTGGCACACTTTCTGTTTGAAAAGGAAAAAAAAAAAAGGAATTTCAGTTTTTTGAGCATTTCGTGTGGATATATATAAACTGACGAACTTTTTCGACACTCCTTTTTTTTTTTTTCTGCTTTATCTTTGTTAGTATGGAAATCCAAAACTAAAAACTTTATGATATTAAACTAACTTTTCCTTCAATATATCTGAAGTATCAAAATTAATCACAAATCCGTCCTTTGAGTTACGAAAGTTTTATCGAAACAACGCAAAAGTAGTGCAAATGTTCAAATCACTTGGGGTATGTTCTTTGTATCATTTTTCAAGTCGTTTTCTGTTTTCGATTTTCCATAAGAGTGAAAACGTGCTCTCTTTTTCATTTTCGAAAACTTGTTTTTGAAAACAAGTTAAAAATTTACGAAGAAAATTCAAAACAACAAATTTGTCGTCTTGGGTGTTTTCAGTTATAATCGAGTCAAAATTTTCAAAACACAGTTTGAGTGTTTTCAAAATAATTTTTTAAAATGCCAAAAAGAACACATTTTCAACAATCTCAAAGTGGACACTCAAAACACAAAATTCAAAATGAATTCAAAACTCAAAACACAAAGAGAACAACCCCTTATATTTCGAAATTTTCAGATTTTTGCGAACCATATGCTGCAGTGTACTTTCATATGAAAAAACGATTTTCGAATCCAGAACCGTACTTTGAATTACGAATTTTTTTCCAGAACAATGCAAAAGTCGTACTAATCATATAAAAAACTAATTTTATACTTTAAAATGATGTTTGAAATGGTTTATCGATTACCTTCAAGAAATTAGTTCGTCTTTAAAACTCCATTGTATCAAAGCAATTATATCAGCGTTGAAAGATCGATCTCTCCTTTAAAATGATTAATTTTTTATATCATATTTCCGACTTTATCCAAATACCGTAATACTTACGATTCTTCAATGTCATGTTCTGTATTAAATGTTACATAACCTCATAGTATGATAAATAATATTTTAATCAATTTATCCTTTTCAATACAATTTAAATATTTTTTCTTTACCACTGAGTGATTCAAAAATAATAGGAGTAATTAAAGGGAAGGATTGCTGTTGAAGCTGCTGTATGACGTACAAATGGTTGCATGAACCATGCATCGAAACCCATCCAAGTGATCCGGGTTGGCCCGAATGGTTGACCCGTGAATGATCTCAACTTGTCCATTTTCAATGCAAATTTAGGCTTAAATATATACTTGGTATGGAGTGGGTCATGCTTTTTGATGAACTTTTGAGAAAATTGCACTATTGATCCCCAAACTATTTCCCTACTAGTAAGTTTAACCTCAATATGTATAAAGGAGCAAGTTGATTCCCGATCTTGATTTCATTATAATGGTAGAATATGTTCTCAACTGATTGAAACCATCTAAAAGTATATTAAACCCCTATTTGGTGTAGTAAAAAATAAGACTTTCAGTGATTTTGATAAAAATTGATAAAATGTGTGATTGTTATTAAAATTAATTGTTGATTTTAACTTAGATTTTTTTATCAATTTGTTAAGCTATGCCAAATCGGAGGCTAAATTTTTATGTAAACCCTGCACATCCAACTGAATGAACCTATTTTTTTTTTTTCCAACTTTGATGATGTTCAAAAATTTGAAATCGAGAGTTTTTTTTTTCCACAGCAACCACCTACAAAGATATGAACGATTGAGAAATAATTTGACAAGTAACAAATTACGCTAGGAAAACAATGTTACTATTTTCCCAATTTTTTTTGATACACTGGCCAAGTACATGTGTAGAAAAATCATATTACTACACGTGCGAGAATTTGGACGATTTTTGTTATTGACAATTGATTATGTAACTAAACAGAAAGTTAGAGACCGATTTTTTTTTTTCAAAAACAGTGAACTAACTTACTATTCGAACAATACATTAAGAACCAATGGTGCAATTCTATTGAAATTTTTAATCCATTTGCTAAGTTTCCATGTTGTTTATTTTTTCTTAAGCGTCACATTTCATATATTCCTTTCTATATATAGTGTCACTTCCTTAACATTCTCGCATATTTCAATCAATTCTCATATTCTCTCTCTAAAGGTTGGGAACATTAGAGAAAGAGATGGATGCACAAAGATCAGCACTTTCACCTTCTCACGGTGGAAACAGCCCCTTCAAGGCGGCGATACTAGCTTTAGTGATGGCTGTGTTCGCCGGATATCTCTTGATATGTGTCATGATGCCTACAAGTCTTTATAGACAAACTTGGTTGCCGGATATTCGACTAAAATCCAGCCCCACCTATTTTGGAGCATCTGGTATTTACTCTTATTCTTTTACCGCGAGTTTGGTGAGAAAAATTAAATACTATCGAACAGTTTAATAAAGAAAAAAAAAAATTTACGTTATAAGAGAATGAAAAATGCTAGATGTACATCAAGGTCTACATCCCCTCACATAAAGGGGTCCACTAGAATAAAATATTTGAGTGGGCCCCTTACCCATGTGAGAGGGGTGTACACCGTGATGTACGCTCCGATGTACCACTAGCACGACTCATAAGAGAATAGTCAAGTACGTTTATGTGAATAAAATAGGTAGGCACTCGTATACATGCTCAAATATAATACTTAGCCCACGTTCGATTGATTGATTCACATTTTTCCCAAAATTCATTCTTTTAATACTCATTTTTAACCATAAATTATTCAATAAAATAATATTTAACTCAAATTCAAAACTTTTTATTATTTTTCAACATATTTTCCATCATATCACATCATAAACTGCAGTTTATTCTCAATAATGTGCATCAAACACCCCCTTAACCATTTGTATACAGTTGATCTAGATGAGGAGGATTGCACTAGGTTGAGTAATTGACATTTAAAATTCATTTTTTCAGACTCATCTTCAATCACACATTCTTTTGGTAAAATAATTTTACACGCAGATCCTAACTTTTCACTACTTTTTAATCAAACATTCTAAAAAAAAAATCAATTTTTACAAAAAAATTTCTGAAAAAATTATACATCAATCAGACTTTACATATATGGACAATCAGTTTTAAGCAATTATTTTTGTAGTACATTACAAAATAAGAAGCAAAAGAAACATACTTTTTTTATACTAATTATCATTTGTGTTTACAGGAGTAACATTTTTGATCTTCATGTTCCCTATCCTATTCATGGCTGTCATGGGCTGTGTATATCTCCATTTAGCAAAGAAATCAGGGGATAATCACTTAAAAGGGTACGTAAACCACCAAATAATAATGTCACGTTTGGTTGAAGTTGAAGCGTTAAATAATATTAAATCGTATTAAAAAGAAAAAGAAATTTTATTATATATTTTAGTCGTGCCTAATATTTTCTATCCAGAGCGAACGCTGAATCAAGAAAGTAGGCTTGGCTACCTAACGTTTGAACCAATTCTTTATTTTTATTTTTTTTGGTCATTTTACTTCATAAAATTAGCTTAAAAATTACTCATTTGGTAGGGTTTTTGAAAAGTCGAAAGCTAATTTTAAGACAAAAAATTTATTTTTTAAAACATATTTGAATCATTTTAAAAATACTTTGTCTTGTGGAAGAGTTTTTGGATGGAATTAGCGTAAAATAGCTTTCTCAGAAAACTCATGTACAACAAGTAGATGCTCTGGCTGCTCTGCCAAATGAGCCCTGAGGCTATCTCAGAAGGAGGAAATAGTAGGAAATAATGCCCACGTTCGATTGATTGATTCACATTCTTCCCAAAATTCATTCTTTTAATACTAATTTTCAACCATACATTATTCAATAAAATAATATTATACGCAAATTCAAAACTTTTCTTTATTTTTCAACTACGTATTTTCCACCATATCACATCATAAAATGCATTTTCTTCTCAATAATGTGCATCAAACACCCCATGAGTAGTTGACATTTAAAATTCATTTTTTCAGACTCATTTTCAATCACACATTCTTTCAATAAAATAATTTTACACGTAGATCGTAATTTTTCACTACTTTTTAATCAGACTCTAAATATATGGACAATAAGTTTTAAGCAATTATTTTTGTAGTACATTACAAAATAAGAAGCAAAAGAAACATAATTTTTTTTCTTCATTTACTCCCATCAATATTATTTATACTACTTATCATTTGTGTTTACAGGAGTAACATTTTTGATCTTCATGTTCCCTATCCTATTCATGGCTGTAATGGGCTGTGTATATCTCCATTTAGCAAAGAAATCAGGGGATAATCACTTAAAAGGGTACGTAAACCATCATATATTAATGTCGCGTTTGGTTGAAGCGTCAGATAATGTTAAATCGTATTAAAAAGAAAAAGAAATTTTATTATATATTTCAGTGGTGCCTAATATTTTCTTATCCAGAACGAACCCTGAATTAAGAAAGTAGGCTTGGCCACCTGAAGTTGGGGCCAAATCTTTTTTGTTGTTGTTGTTTTGCTTCATAAAATTAGCTGAAAAAATGACTCATTTGGTAGGGCTTTTGAAAAGTCGAAAGTTGATTTTAAGATAAAAAAATTATTTTTTAAAACATATTTGAATCATTTTTTTAAAATACTTCGTCTCGTGGAAGAGCTTTTAAAGAAAATTAACGTAAAATAGTTTTCTCAAAAAACTTTTATACAAAAAGCTCTGCCTGCTTTGCCAAATGAGCCCTTAGGCTATCTCAGAAGTTGGAAGTACAAAATTTTAGGGGATGTTCTCTTTGTGTTTGTGTTTTGAGTTTTGAATTCATGTTCGATTTTATGTTTTGAGTGTCTATTTTGAGATTGTTGAAAATGTGTTCTTTTTGACATTTTGAAAAACACCCAAAACGTGTTTTGAAAATTTTGATTTGATTATAACTGAAAATTTTGGATTTTCTTTGTAAATTTTAACTTATTTTCAAAAACGCGTTTTCGAAAATGGAAAAGAGAATGCGTTTTCACTATTTTAGAAAATCGAAAACAGAAAACCGCTTGAAAATGGTAAAGAAAACATACCCTTACTGACTCTAAGATATAGTCCTAGTACACCATTAATCATATTTGGTACATACTATTAAACTATTCTAAGTCCCTGTTTAAGCCATATTAAAATTTTCATTCTCATTCTTCTATCATATTTTTTAATAAAATAATATTTTTTAACGCATCAATAACTTGTCCTTCTTTTTCAACTACACATTCTCCATCAATCTATACTATTCCAAAATAATGTGGCTCAAACACACCCTAAATATAAACAAGATTTTAACCTTTTTTTTATACTATGATTGTTGCTCAATCTTCCTTACTAAATGTTCCATAAAATTTTGAGTTTTGCTAGGCTTACAGAGGTACCCCCACCGATCACTCACAAGGTGAGGGGTCGGGAAATTTTTTATCCTTTTTTTAATGAGCTCAGTCCCACATGGGACCCACCTCATGTGAGAGGTGGTAAAAGTTCTGTCAACTTATTTTTTTTACATTTGGCTTAACTCTAAAATTTTATCATCTAATCATTATAAACATGCTCGGAAGCCTGTAGGCAGTACTGAACACAACTGTACTGTATTATATATCTACTTTTAAGTTTTAATTTTGAATCATGAACTGCAGGAACGGAAAGCATAGATTGGCTATATGGAGAAGGCCTATGATCATGAAAGGACTTGGAGTGGTTTCAATTGTTTTAGTCACTTAAGGGTGTTTTTGTCTTTTTATAGCAAAAGTGGCATTTTGGGATTATTGTCAATTGGAAAAGTCAAAATGGAATTAGGGACCTTTGACTAGGTCATTTTGACAAGTACCCCTCTCAGAAGTCCAAAGTAGGTAAAAAATTTATTTTTTAAAACATATTTGAATCATTTCTTAAAAATACTTCATCTTGTGGAAGAGTTTTTAGATGGAATTAACGTAAAATAGCTTTCTCAGAAAACTCTTGTACAAAAAGTAGAAGCTCTGGCTGCTCTGCCAAATGAGCCCTTAGGCTATCTCAGAAGTCCCAAGTACAAATTTTACTAACTCTAAAATATAGTCCTAGTACACCATTAATCACATTTGGTACATACTACTAAACTAACTAAAAATAAACAAGATTACAACCATTTTTTATACTATGATCGCTGCTCGATCTTCTTTACTAAACATTCTATAAAATTCTACCATCTAATCATTATAAACATGCTCAGAAGCCGGTACGTAGTACTGAACACAACTGATTTGTATATATCTACTTTTAATTTTGAATCATGAACTGCAGGAATGGAAAGCATAGATTGGCTCTATGGAGAAGGCCTATAATATACTTTCCTGAACCTCACCAAAGTTGGATTGAACTGGCTTTCTTTCTCATGTTCATAGCACTTCTTGTTTGGTCTTTTGCTACCTATTTGCGTATTGGCTTTGCTACTATCACACCCCAATCAGCTGCAAAGAGTGGGGAGAAAGTGTAGGCATTTTTATTTTTTTTCACAAAAAATTAAATTATTTATTTCGATTTTTTTTTTCAATCACGTGTAATAATAACTGGACACAGTAATTATTAAAAAGAATTTGTAGAGACAATTTCAAATTTAATTTTTCGAAGGAGTTTACTTGACAATATTATTTATTGAAGTCACACGGTCCCACTTCTATGAACACTTTACGCGCCAGACATTTGATAAAAAAAACATAATTTGTCATATTATGAAAAGATCGATGTAACCCTGATGGTGAATTATGTCAGGTGGGAGGTGAAGTTGGAGACTGCGGCTCTCCGATTAGGTCTGATCGGTAACCTATGTCTAAGTTTTCTCTTCTTCCCCGTGACTCGTGGCTCATCGTTGCTACCACTTTTTGGTCTCACCTCCGAGGCTAGTGTCAAGTATCATATTTGGCTAGGACATATTGTCATGACTCTCTTCACTGCTCATGGTTTATGCTACATTATCTATTGGGCTGTCACACATAATATATCAGAGGTAATTTATTAATTACAATCAAGAATCCTATTTATTCTTATTCTTGAAATTAATTTGCATTTTTAATTATATGTATTTTTTATTTTTATTTTGCAAATTCAGATGCTGAAATGGGATAATACAGGAGTTGCCAATGTGGCTGGAGAGTTGGCTTTACTATTTGGATTAGTGTTATGGGCTGCAACATACCCCAAGATAAGGAGAAAAATGTTTGAGCTCTTCTTTTACACTCATCATTTGTACATTCTCTTCGTCTTCTTCTTTGTGCTTCATGTTGGCATTAGTTATGCCTTCATTATGCTTCCTGGTTTCTACCTTTTCGCGATCGATCGATACTTGAGATTCTTACAATCCCGGCAACGTGCACGCTTAGTCTCTGCCCGTATTTTGCCTAGTGAGACGATTGAGCTCAACTTCTCAAAAAGCAGAGGTATTGAACGAGAATGCACACATTGATATGGATATTAGATATATGTTGTTTTCATGTTGGTCACTAAACTTAAATCTTTGTTACAATTTAGTTATTCGATCTACTTCCTGTAGTTTGACTAACACAAAAGTCAGGTGACAACCTAGTGGGCCACATGACGTTTCTTGTTAGTCGAACTAATGGACATAGATGGAATGTCCAAATTGCAGTAAAAGTCGAGTTCAATGATTGACTTGAAAAATAAAATACAGTTCAATAACCCATAAGAAATCTCATTCGAAGTTTAATGATAAACCCGTATGTTTAACGCGAGATATGTCATTAAATCAACATATGCTATGCACTTGTCAATTATATAACAAGGGCTTTTTTTAGGACTGAGTTACACTCCAACAAGCATCATGTTTATGAATGTGCCTAGCATTTCTAAGCTGCAATGGCATCCCTTTACAATTAGTTCCAACAGTAACTTGGAAGCTGAGAAGCTGAGTGTTATTATCAAAGGCGAAGGGAGTTGGTCCAAGAAACTCTACCAATTGCTATCATCACCTTCTTCTGTTGAAAGGCTTGATGTTTCTATTGAAGGGCCTTATGGGCCTACTTCGACGGATTTTCTAAGGTATGGAATGAATTTTTAGCTCATTGAATGTCTCGACAATGTAATAGCTTGAACTTTTATTTGAAGTCATCTTTCAGTATAACATTCTAGCGCAAAAATCATAGGTTTAGGGGCCCTCACTAACCATTTATGAAATTCCAAAAGTTGGACTTTCACGAAGACAGATGAATATTGTATCGATGTATGTAAGCACAACAAGGTCGTTTAGTTTTGGTCCACCCCACACAAGTGAACGAGTCGAAGATATAAATACAACCTTGATTTTTGGACACTGGTAAACTCTAACAGAGTATTGCTTCTAAAATATTCGAAATTTGCATTGATGAATCATATTTTGTTGCAGGCATGACTTGCTAGTGATGGTGAGTGGAGGCAGTGGCCTAACCCCTTTTATCTCTATCATCAGGGAGCTCATTTATGCAAGTGAAACACTGAAATCCAAAACCCCAGAAATCCTTCTAATCAGTTCATTCAAGAACTCTTCAGACCTCACCATGTTAGACCTAATTCTCCCAATTTCTAGTGCCTCATCACAATTTTCCAACCTCTCTGTCCAAATTGAGGCATTTGTAACAAGAGAAAAACAACCCACAACACAACAAAAGAAGAATATTCAGACATTATGGTTCAAACCTAGTCCATCAGATGCAGCCATCACTCCAATCTTAGGCCGAAACAGTTGGCTCTGTCTTGGTTCTATAATCTCGTCGTCATTCATCATATACCTTATTTTTATCGGGATTTTGACCCGATACTACATTTTCCCAATCGATCATAACACAAATAAGATCTATTCGTCTTCTTCAAAAGCTGTGCTAAACATACTATTCATATGTATATGTATAATCATCACAGCCACCACAGCCTTTCTTTGGAACAAAAGTAAAAATGCAAAGGAAAGTACACAGATTCAGAACATGGAAGGGGCTACTCCAACAGCATCACCAAACTCATGGATTTATAATGCAGATAGAGAACTTGAAAGCTTACCCCAACAGGCTTTTCTTGAGGCAGTTAATGTGCATTATGGTGAAAGACCAGACCTCAAGAGTAAGTTATATAAACTCAAAATCATTTTGAGTTTATTGTAGGTTTAGAAACTGGTTTTATTTGCTTGTAGGAGGAAATATAAGGCTATATCTAGAGAGAAACTTATACTTCTTTCTTACTATTAAGAAAAAAAACTCTTAACTTAGCGTTACAATAAGTAACTCACTTTCATATTTGACTAAAAAATTAACCATTTAATTGAAACTTATTTATTTACTTATAAGTTGACTTTTTTTTAGTAAAACATGCTATTAAACTCCTTTTCGTTTTTCGGTCAATCAATCTTGTCCAGTTCAATATACCAAACATACTAAGTCCCTGTTTGGTGACCATTTCTTTTTCCAAAATACAATGTTTTGAATAGTGATTTTTAGGAGAATGTGTGGTTCAAAAGTAGTGAAAAGTTTTGGATTTACGTACAGAATATTTCATCACGTGAGTACGTAGAAAAAAGTTTTCAAATCGCGGTTGTCAAATGAGGGCTAAGACTTTGCACTAAAAATCTTTTTCTCTCCCTATTTATTACCTATCAACCACAAGCTAACAACCATCCAGAAACATAGCTGTATCGACTATCGACTACCTATTCACAATCATCGTCGACTCGGAAATAACCTTCCTACATTTATAATCACATAGGAGCCTGCCTAATCTAATTTCAAGTTAAAAACACTATGAAACTTCACCCTACAATTTTTACTTTGCTTGCAGGAATTTTGTTTGAGCGCAAAGAATCAAGTGTTGGTGTTCTTGTTTGTGGACCTAAGAAAATGAGACACGAGGTTGCCAATATATGTTCATCTGGTTTGGCAGCTAATCTGCATTTTGAATCCATCAGCTTCAGTTGGTGACGAATAAGAAAAAGGGTTTCAAATTCAAATGATCTCGTTCTACATCAGTGAATATATTGTTATATTTTCTTGCATTTTTGTCCTTTCATCTTTCTTCTGGTTGGCTGAGCTTTTGACATATGACTGTAAATGGGAAGATGAAGATACTCCCTAATTCTCCATGTGTGAATAATATGATTTCTGTTTGTCAAATAAATTCTATTGTCTCTTTTGTGCATAGAAAATCACTGCTGGAAATTGTTCAATGGATGTTTGAGACACTTTCCAAGTGGAAATTATTGGAAATATTGATTTTTTGTTTATTTAAAATATGACGAAAAATAAATTTTTTCATGCACTTAACAAATTATTAGTGCTCCAATAAATAAAGATTGAAAGTGCATCTAAAAAGTGATGGAACAACTAAAGCTATGGTGGCAATATAATCGCCCCAAAAAAAATTTATGGTCGAAGATTCAAAATGATTTTGCTATTTTAGAATGTTTTGTAAAGATTGTTAAATAGCACTTATTTAAGCCCATATTTGGTCTTTATAATTTTCAAAATATATTTTTTCTCTATTATTTTCAAGTTTTAACCAAATATTTTTTAATAAAATAATATTATACTTAAACCCAAAATTTTTCATCAATCATTATTTTAAAATACATTTTTGTCAAAAAGAATGGACTCAAACCGTCAAACGTGCTTTTAAAAAGTAAAATAAATTAAAATTTTATTAATTATAATGTCCCATCACTTCAAATATGCACCCGTGATTTGAAATCAGAATATGATATCAATTTTCAACAAAACATTTCGGGGCTGGTATCTTTGTGTTTCAGTTTTGTGTTTTGAATTTATTTTGAATTTTGTGTTTTGAGTGTTCATTTTGAGATTATTGAAAATGTGTTCTTTTTAGTATTTTGAAAATTTGTTTTGAAAACACAAAAAACGCGTTTTGAAAATTTTGGCTTGATTATAACCGAAAACACTCAAAATGAAAAATTTGTCGTTTTGAGTTTTCTTTATAAATTTTTAACTTGTTTTCAAAAACGCGTTTTCACTGTTTTGAAAAATTGAAAACAAAAAAGACTGGAAAATGGTAAGAAGAACAAACTCTTCCTTTTTTGACACCCTTTAAAACAAGAATTTTGCTGTCTAAAAAATATTTGAACGTAAACTCAAAATAATTTTTTACTTTAAACCACATATTGTCTAAAACATCACTGTTCAAAAAATCAATTTTTTCAAAGTAATGGCCATAAAATGGAGCTTAAAAATTTATTCATCAAGCCCTTGTTCGGTACACATTCTTTCAAAATATATATTTTTTAAAATTCATTTTCAACTATACATTTTTCAATAAAATAATATTTTTCATCACATCAGTAACTTTTCCTTACATTTTACTCACATATTTCTCATCGAGGAATGCTATTCATAGTCGTTCACTACAACAGTCGCCCTATGTGGCACACATATAGCATATAGTTATTTGATGCATTAATGTGATAGTTTTTTTACCACATTAATGCATTCAATACACACTTGAAATGTGTGCCACATATGACGACTGCAGCAGTAAGCGACTGCAAATAGTATTATTCCTTCTCATCATATCACTATTCAAAATATATTTTTTTCTCAATAATATCCATCAAACACATCATAAACACTACTCTCACCCCCCCACCCCATCTCTAAGAATCCTCTCTACAACATTTATTCCCGACTCTCTCTCTCTCCCCTGAAAAGTACAGGTATTGGAAAACAAAAGGCCAAAAATCCGGGTACAAAGAGTCAAGGATTAACATCATCTATCAAAGAGAATTGAAGAGTCACCCAGAGAAGTCCCTTTGGCCTACACTCCCCCGAACTCCAATCAGCCCTCAAATTTCGACTACTGGTACGTCTCTCTCTGTACTTCCAACAAACGCTACAAACCCATTATCAATTCTTCATTTTTATTACTTTACCCTTTTCTGTACGAATATTCAAAATAAATTCCTGCTCTATGTACTGTCTCTCTCTCCGAGAGAGCCCGTGAGGGTCTTCAAGAGTGAAGACGCGAGACCCTAGATCCATAATAATATAAACATCTTCCCGCCACAAACCCGTGTAATACGATGAACAGTTCCCTGGATGGTTTCTTAAAGATCCTAAACACCCTTTTCCTTCCTCCTTTTCGTCTTTCCCTACACTTTTACATATTTGTATGTCTTGAGTTTATGAAGCGATGATGTGTAATTAGAGTCTGAATATACGAAAAAATGGCAGGGTGGTCGAAGATAGTCGATGGTTGTAGTCTAGAAAGCTTCAAAGCTGTTCAAAAAGTGCAGAAAATTGACATCTGGTTTGATCCCGAGCCCTTCTCAAAAAAGTTGACAAATATTGAAGAGAACGGCCGGAACAATACGAACAAGCAGTTTAAGCTCTTCTTAAATGAATTTCTCGAGGTTTTTCTTATAGAAATTTTCTGGATTTTGTGTTGTTGGCCGCTCTCTGCAGTATTTTCGATGGGCAGGGAATTGATTTGTACAAACTCGTGTGAGAGAGAGGTAAGGGTATAGCATTAGGTTCGAAAAAGGTATAGAAGATTGTGAGTATTCAATGGACTTGGAATCAGATTTTAAAGTACTTCAATCTGGGGTATCATATGAAAAGAAGAAAACTACAAGAAAGTTGTTTAATGGTGACGAGGATCGGGGTTTAGTGGGATTGGATGGAGATGTTAAAAATGCTTATGAAAATAAACGTCTTCAGATTTTCGATGAAGAGATAAGTGAAGTCGAGGACGGTGATGGCGATGATGTGGAAAAGAATTCTAATGTGGTTTACAAAGACCCTACTAGTAGGAAGAGGAATAGGGGATGTTACTTGGGCATGTTGAAATGGATCAATAAAGTCGCGAAGGATCCGTGTGATCCAGTAATCGGATCTTTACCCGAAAGGCAAAAGTGGAAGTACTATGGCTGCGAGGAGCTATGGAAGCAGGTTCTCTTGGTTCGTGAGGCGATGATTTTGGAAAGGATGGTCGATTCAAGTTGTCAACAAACTAGTTCGCAGGTGCCCATCATGCTCTATGCTTTTGTGTGTATATAAGCTAAGGCAATATATTTCTTATATCTTTTTGTTCAATGTCATTGTATGAATTACTATAATTTTTTTTATTGCAATTATGATATACATTATATGCTGCTACTAACTTGAAAAAGATTTCAATAATTCTAAACTAAACCTGTTGGTGCGTAAGCGGAATTAAACTTCTTGAAACAAGAAGAAAGTTCAAAAACTCGAAAATTTGTAGAGAATAATTTTATTGTAGTAAATTGCTTAATTAAAAGCTTACAAAGCCATTGTTTATATAGATAAAATAATTTCCTGATTTTATCTACGTAAGGAAACTAAACAATATTACTAAAAGGAAACTAAAAAATGATACTGAAAGGAATCAAAATCCTAATCTAAAAGAAAATAAAAAGCCTTCATTTATTTTTTTCTCATATACTCTGAGGCTTGAGCCACTTAATTTGTTATCTCATTTTCCAGGCTCAGAGGGAAAGGTGTGATAAATGGTTTTTTAGTGTGCTGTGCTTGGAAATAATTAAACTAGGTGGATGGTGGATTTCCTATGTTGAAACCTTTTAGTCATTAAGTGCTTCTACGTTGTAGTGTTCCTCGTTCGTTAAAGTGAACATGGAATATGACACAACTAAGGTGTTCCTGTTGTTGAAAGTGTCGAGCTTTTTCCCTTAATTGAGGTTTGACCTAATAAGGGTACTTTGGAAAATTTGCACACCATAATATTTCTTCCTACTTAAAGAGTATTAAGGCAAACCTCTTTTTTGCATGTGTTGAGAGAATGGTACAAAGAGGTGAGTTAAAAAACAAATTGTAATCGTCTTCTCGTTATAGTGAAATTCTGCAGCTAACATTGAGAGCGAATCGCTATAAATCATGTGGTTTCTTGCTTTCATTTTTTGGCTCACATTAATTAATTGCTACCGGTAGTACAAATTCATTGTTTAATCCATAACACGTGTTACTATATTTTTTTGGATTTTTTATTCGAGTTCATTACAATTATGGCTACCTGTTTATTGAGATCCAAGAGTTTGTCTATGGCTAATGCCATTTAACCTTTTGTTTGAACTTGAAGCCATGCCAGTACAAAATAAACTTACTTGAATAACATTCGTGAAAATGAAAAATATTAGTACAAGAAAAGCAGGTATTCTTGGAGCTCAGCATTGTGGATTTCTTGAAATTCTGCAAACAAAAAATGAGGCAGGCACAGGAAATTTATTTTGCTTTGTCGCTGTAATAGTTTATCCAATGTGTTTTTATTATTCTAAAGAATTAGGGAGGGCATGGCATTTCAGTTTATACATTGGTTTTTTCGACATTTGCGTCCTCTGCCTTTGAAGTTACCTTTCTTTTCAACAAAATTTGTTGCTTTTGCATCTGTAATTTCTTCCATAACAGTGCTTAATTGAAGTTTCATATATATTAATATCTTGAAAAACTAATTTGGGTAATATAATAGTAGCATTCTTAATGAATGACTTGTTGACTCCTAGAGCGGGTTTAGGGCCCATTTGACACGGCTTTAGATAAATCAAACGTTGCTTCTAAGATTAAGAAATTGCTTTTGAACATATTTTGATAATTTTCTAGGAGCGTTTTGTCTGATTAGAAGAAGGGTTTTTAGAGGAAGTTAGATTACCCGAGGAAGCTCTTATACAAGGAGTAAAAGCCTTACCAAATGGCCCCTTAGTAAAAGTCAGAGGCAGTAGCCCCACAAAAGCATGTGCTTATAGATTCATTAGCTTTTGCCTTGTAGTTCTCTATTTGTTACTTTAATTACATATCCATTATTTGCCAGTTTATGACCAAACATATGGACGATATATCCACGCGCTACTTAATTTAATAATTTCTATACTTTGCAGAAGCAGCAAAATATGCATCCAAATATGTATGGCCAACGTGGTTCTGAAAGATTAAGATGCAGCGAGAGGCTTCTTTCTGCAAAAGATTCTTTTAAAAGGGCTCGAATTGGTTTGGAGTCATTATCGTCTGATTCTTGGAGTGGAGAGTATCCTGCTGATAAACAGTCTGATTCAATGGCGTATTCTGTTGCTTTATGGGGCAACTATCAGTGTCGGAAACGAATTCCTCTGGGCTCTCTATTTCAAGCAAATATACCAGAATTCACTGGGAAGACTAATGAAATTGATTCTACGTGGTTAGGTACCCGAATTTGGCCTTTGGAAAAATGTGAACATAAGGGAGTCCTAATAGAAAGGGACCGTATTGGAAAAGGAAGACAAGATTCCTGTGGCTGCCAGTTCCCTGGATCTGTCGAATGTGTCAAGTTTCACGTTGCTCAGAAAAGCTCGAGAGTGAAGCTTGAGTTATGCTCAGCTTTTGACAGATGGAAATTTTATAGTATGGGTGAGAAAGTTGCGCTTTGTTGGACGAAAGAGGAACAAAATAGATTTCAAGACATAGTGAAGTTGAACCCTTTATCGCAGGTCAAATATTTCTGGGACGAACTTCTAAAGCTTTTGCCTAGAAAAGACAAGGACGCTTTGGTAAGCTACTACTTCAATGTTTTCCTTCTCCGGCGTCGAGGTTACCAAAACAGGATGTCTCCGAGTAATATTGACAGTGATGATGAGGAATCGGAGTTTGGGCAGCTAGCAGCTAAATCTCTTGGGTCCATCTTCTGTTCCCCAAGAAATATGCAAAGATGTGAATTTCGAAGATGTACGAAATGACCACGGGGAAAGGAATTAAGAAGATGTTGGGAGGTGTTCACCGGTTCACCGCTATCGACCAATTTAACGATGCCAGTTGACAACAACTATATACTGGGATTTCTTTTTTCATTGAAGGTCATATTACGACAGAGAAAAATTTGCAGCTTTGACGTTCATTGGATATTGTGGCTTCATTTTATAGTTTTCAACACAATTCTTGTCCGTTTCTCATGAATATCAACTGATTTTGGTAAGTCGCTTTTACGTGTTACATATTTACCATAGGTTTTGACAACTAAGGATTTCTACTAACATGCTGCCTTTTCAAATGTTTGAGAATGGCCAAAATCATGAGCATGAAAAAACATTGGAGTGTATTAAAGTGCTTTGTTAATAATAATATTGGTTTATAACATTTCCTAGGAATATTAATTTAGTGCTTATTTTTTGCCATTTCCGAACCAAGTTTTCTTCAAAGAAAAAGTCGATAGATCCTTGGATCCACAATTAGTAGTGTTCTTAGAACTATAATTTTTGAAGGGAAGATAAAGAATTATTGTTCATACTTCATACATAATATTCCATGTCAACGTCATGAGCTCTATTGATATGTTATAGTCTCGTGCTGATACTAGTTATTCAGCTTGTGTTGCACGTTATTATGAGATTTTATTAAGTCCTTAATTTAAGACACATTCTCTTAATAAAATTATTTTGTACGTAAAATTAGGCCCTTGTTTGTTTCCAATTTTTTTCTCATTTTAATGAAAATTCTAGCCGCTACTTGGTCCACAGCCGCATCTTTTGACTTCACCATCTCACAGTGGGACCCATGGGTTGGAAAAAAGGGCACAAAAAATTAATTCTTGAGTACAAATAATGGGAAACTAACTGGGTGTAAAAAAATCGTACTTTTTAATTATACATTCTTCAAAAATCATGTTTTTACAATATCTATTTTTAAAATGGGCTCAAACATGGGCTAAGTTTATACATGTTAACTTTTGAATGTTGGGTTGTGGACGAGCTTCTTATTAGACGAGAACCTTCCTTTTTTTTTTTTGTGGAAATTAAACATTTCCCTACTTTTGGATATTCAAATTCTAAAATCAGATTTCATGTTTTAATGTTCAACAATTAGATATTTTATAGATAGATACATATTTTTTATATTTAATTAAATATTATTTTCATGTTTTAATGTTCAAAAATCAGATATTTTATATATAGATATAGATTTATTATATTTAATTAAATATTAATAATAATATTATAAAAATTAATATACACCACACCCCTAAATTAATTTCAAACCCTAAACTGTCTCTCACTCCTCTCTTGCTCTCTTCGCCTCTCATCTACTCTCTTTTACTAGCTCTCTCTCTTAAATTCCCTTTATAGAGAGTGCTGTACTCCGGTACCGGTGAACCGCTTCCTCGCCGTCGTTAACAGCCTTTCAAATAACAGCGATCTACTAAGACATGAGTAACAGCGAGCTCCTCCAAATCGAACCTCTCGAACTTCAGTTCCCATTTGAATTAAAGAAGCAGATCTCTCGCTCGATGTAAGCGTCGCTGCGACTATAGATGTGGTTCCGGTGGTCTCCTCTCAATTCCATCCCACACTCTGGTGGGCGGCAACTACAGTCGCAGGAGCAGCGCTCCTAGTGGTGGCTGGAATTAGGATTCGGATCGTGGTTGTTGGCTGCTCGATGGAAGCAAACCGGGTGGTGTTTGCAGTTGGCTCGAAATTGGAGAAAGTGACGGGTAATTTCTGGGCATTGTCGGCGTGCGGCGGCGATTCCCGTTCACTGGTTATGTGC